AGGTTGTCTGTGGGCGAGGACTGGCCTGCCTCCCAAGGTCTGTGAAAGTGAGGGATCATTGTCCAGGATGGGTTGTAGATCACTGATGATGCGTTGGACAGGTTTAAGCTGAGGACTGTAGGTGATGGCCAGTGGAGTTCTGTTGGTTTCTTTTTTGGGCCTGTCTTGTAGCAGGAGGCTTCTGGGTACACGTCTGGCTCTATTGATTTGTTTCTTTGTTTCCTTTTGTGGGTATCGTAGTTTTGAGAATGCTTGGTGAAGATCTTGTAGGTGTTGGTCTCTGTTTGAGGGGTTGGAGCAGATGCGATTGTACCTCAGTACTTGGCTGTAGATGATGGATCGTGTGGTGTGACCGGGGGGGAGGGAGGGGGAAACTGGAGGCATGAAGGTAGGCGTAGCGGTCGGTGGGTTTTCGGTATAGGGTGGTGTTAATGTGGCCATCGCTTATTTGTACAGTGGTGTCTAGGAAGTGGACCTCCCGTGTAGATTGGTCCAGGCTGAGGTTGATGGTGGGGTGGAAGCTGTTGAAATCATGGTGGAAACGATCCATCCATTGTGTGTGTCCTGTGGATAATTTAGAGATTTACAATTTAAGGGTTCTTAATCTGGCACCTTGAAACCCAATAATTTAATTCTTCCCTTCTCTCTCCCTCCCCACTAAATGTAGGGCTTGATCTTGCAAGTGTTGAGTACTCTCAAGTCTAATTGAATCCCATAGGAGTTGCTGGTGTCAAGCACCTCACAGGGTCAGGCCCTTGTTTTGCATAATCTGTTTAGCAAAATTGGTCTTTCTTTCTTTTTTTGCATAGGCACAATTACATTCAAGGAACAAAACTGTTTGCAACCCTTTTCTTGGAGATTGCAAAACTGCCTGGAAAGTTACAGGAAACGTCCAACACGACGACTACAAACTGATGGATCCTGGCAAAACAATAAGCTAGACTCCTGCCTATTGTCTTAAATATTCTAACCTCCTTCTTTATTACTCTGGAGAAACATGTACAAACAATAAAATAGTTAGATGTACACCGCATGTCTGAAACTGTTGAAAAATTAAATGCCTGCTACTGCTTACAACCCGCACTAACTAATGTTTAACCAAATCAAGTGATTCCTTGCGCAATACAATTGGATCAGAGGTGCCTCATGCTTGTTGCCTGCCCAGAACTGGGCCCCGAGATGGCAAACAGGGATTCGTTGCTCGGTGTGCTTGGCACCAATAAAGACACCGAGGGGAGAAAGCAAGCCAAGTTTATTTCAGAGCTCTGAAATGGCACTAGGAGACCAGCATGTCTCAAATCCAGTGCAACAAATACAAACAAATTTTCCCTTTTATATTCCAAGCAGTTTCTGTGCAAGCCTTTGTCTATTTCACCCTTACCCCTCCCTTCCAGACAACAGTTACAGCAGGTACACAGTGTGCATGTTAGAAACTTTCCCTTCACCTGCTTATCTCTTGGCCTTGCAAGGCCTGTTTACAGCAGTTTTCCCCCGTCTTTCCCTTCCCCTTTTTCCCCGCATTATCACTACAAGTTTTGCTAGTGTGAACAAAACTACAGCTGTCTGCTAGAAAAGCTGACCCTTACATTTCTGCTTCAGCATGTAAGTAGTTAGCACAGAAGTAGGTGAAAGTTCTCAAGATGGAGTCACTGTGGCTCAGGTAGGCCCAGAGCAGAAGAGCTTCATCGGCACTTTTGGCCTTCCACTCTCCTGAGTTACCTGGTAGCTATGCCTAGTGACACCAACAATCCCTCCTTTGAGAACACTCAACAAACCTTTGTCAGAGTTTTCTCATACTCTAAAGACAAAATGCGATTAAACTCCATGTAATCAGGATTATCAATGAGAGGGTATAAGGGAACTTCTGGGAAGGGGGAGGTACAAATCTTACATATGAGCACTTTACAGCAAATGAGCAAAAGGAAAAGGACAAAACATATCACAACACCTGTGAGCAATATGCGAACAATGCTTCCCCCTATACCCCCAGTTCCCCTAAACCAGGTATCCAACCCCAAAGGGAATCCAAAATAGTGGGTTCCCCTTCCTGGGCCTTCCACTGATTCAAGGCTTGTTCGGCCAACAAGATATGCTTGTTAATATCCTGTGAAAACTCTGGGACATAGGTACAACATTCTTCTCCAATAAGGGCACATACCCTGCCCCGTGAAGCTAACACATAATCTAGGGCCTGGCAGTTTTGCAAAGCCAGCAGTCGAAGCTGGTACAGCTCAGAACTTATGCGTTTCTCTATGGCCAGGGTATCATTGGCAAACTGAGTGAGAAATTTAGACAGTCTTCTGTAGATTTGGGTTAGCCGTCCCACTCCATAGGAAGGGAGGGATATCATCCCAAACCTGTCTCCTTCACTGATGGGTTCAATGGTAGCTCTCAGGGACCGATAGTACCTAGGGCGACCTGAGGGAGCCTTGGTGAAAACACAGAGGGGAGGAGCGAGATAGCCTTGGTAACAGCTACCATGCCAACCATGAGGGAGCCATTTATAGGCACTATTACCACATACCCAGAATGCTTCACCATAACTAGCCTTTCCATTGTTACCTTGTAAGTTCCCGTAAGGTGGCTTGTGGGAAAGGGCAAAGAATGCAGCGCCAGTTTGCCAACCGGTGGCATTTAGTAAAGGAACAGTGAAACTTATACCAGGACCAATATAAAATCTACACTTACTAATGCCTGCAAACCAGGTATAGATAAAACCAATGCTCAGGGTTCTCGCGGGGAGTGCGCTGTGGCTGTTCAGAGAGATCACCAGGCATTTCCAGTGACCCTTACTGTCTTTTGAATAACAGCTTATTCTGCTAACAAATCGTCGTTAGCAGTCTTCTCCGCAGGCTGGACAGTCCACTGTTTAGGAATGGGCACTGCTTTCAGTCGAGAGTGATGAATCCAGTTCTTGTGTCCTTTGACCTTTGCCGCTGTGTGGGAAACAAGCCCTTCCACTTCTCTTGGAGAGGCTCATCCTTCCAGGTCCGCACGAGAACGGAGTCATCTGGCTGCAGGGAGTGGACCAGGGTATCCAGCAGAAAAGGCTGTGAATCTTTAGTGTATCTGTGAAGAAAAGAAAGAACAGCAGACAGAGAGCACATGTACTGAGACAAGAAACCATACCCCATCTCCCACTCCCCTGCCAGAACCGGTGTACCATTCAAAGGCCATGCCCTTCCAAACATAATCTCGACGGGACTAAGCCCTAACCTACCCTTGGGGAGAGCACGAATGCGGAGTAACACAAGAGGCAAAGCATCAGGCCACCTAAGAGAGGCCTCCTGACAAACCTTTGAGAGGTGTCACTTGAGTGTCTGATTTGTGCGTTCCACTACTCCACTGGCTTGTGGTCGCCATGGGGTGTGGAGCTTCCAGGGAATTTGCAGAGCACTTGATATCTTTTGAACCACTTGAGATGTGAAGTGTGTTCCATTATCAGATTCCATCCACTGGGGAAGGCCAAAGCGAGGAATGATCTCCTTGACAAACTTAAGAGCCACAGTCTTGGCAGTGTTGTTGCGACATGGGAAGGCTTCAGGCCATCCGCTGAATCGATCCACTAAGACGAGAAGATACCTGTACCCTTGGGTCCTGGGAAACTCAGTAAAGTCTATTTGCCACACCAATCCTGGGCCTGGGGTAGGTTCCCAAGTGGCTGGCAACACTGCTACTCCTGGTCGAGGATTATTCTTTTGGCAGATTAAACATTCAGCCTGTACCTGTGATGCTAGGGGTTTAAGTTCAGAGGTTAGAAAATATTTATTCATAAGCTGGGTAAGAGCCTCTCTGCCTGTGTGGGTGGTTTGATGCAGTTTCTGCAACACTGGTCAGATTAGGCCCTTGGGAAGGAGGATTTTTCCCTCTATGGAATAAAGCCATCCCTCCTTCTCCTGGAGACCGAGCTTGTCAGCCAGGTTTCTGTCATCATGGGAGTACTGAGGGGCTGCAAGCTCACTCACTGATGGGATAAGGGCATGCATTTGGGCATTCTCCTTTGTTGGTGACTTCAGGGTAGCAGCACGCTTGGCTTCCCTGTCTGCTCTGGCATTGCCCTTGGTTACATCTTGATCTTCCCCCTTGATGAGCTTTGCAATGTACCACTGCTACTACTGAGGGGAGTTGTACCACTTCTAACAGCCGGAGAATTTGAGACCCATGCTTAACCGGAGAACCTTGGGCTGTTAGCATTCCCCTTTGCTTCCACAGAACAGCGTGAGCATGCAATACCCCAAAAGCATACTTTGAGTCAGTAAAGATATTAACCCGTTTGTCTTTTGCCAGCTTGAGTGCACAAGTCAGGGCCACTAGTTCAGCAAGCTGGGCAGATGTCCCAGCTGGTAAACTTTCAGCTTCCACGGTATCATGAAGGGTCACAATAGCATAACCAGCCCTCCTTTGCCCATTTACAACAGTACTACTGCCATCCATATACCATTCCAAGTCAGCATTTGGGAGTGGCTGATCCTTTAAATCTGAGCTGCTAGAGTAGTGGGCATCTATGATTTCCAGACAGTCATGTTCCTGCTTTTCTGTCTCTGGTAGCAGGGTAGCTGGATTAAGGGAGGAACAGGTTTGTAGGGTAACTTCAGGATTCTCTAATAGCTTCGCCTGGTACCGAGCAACCCGAGCCTGTGTGAGCCAAAGACCACCCTTAGTATCCAGCAAGGCTCGGACCATATGGGGAACATACACTTACACAGTTCCCCCCAGTGTCAGTTTTTCAGCTTCCCCAAGCACTAGGGCAGTGGCTGCGACCGCCCTCAAACAGGCTGGCCAACCCTTTGAAACTTGATCCAGTTGCTTAGAGAAGTATGCCACGGGAAGTTTCCAGGCACCTAGTAGCTGAAATGCCCTGTCCGCTTCTAGGGACCAGTGAAAGGGGTCATGATCCGCTTCCTTAACACATTCATACAGAGGTTTAGCCCACAGTCCACTACCCTGTATCCTCGGAGTCCGATAAAATTCAGGAGACTCACAGTAGCTTTAAGACAAGGGATTAGACCCACAGCAGCAATTAACAAGTCATCTACCTATTGCAGAAGGAGGGCTTTGTCCTCATTGTCCCACTCCTCTGAGGGTACATCTACACTACAGCGGGGAGTCGATTTAAGATACGCAAATTCAGCTATGTGAATAGCGTAGCTGAATTCGACGTATTGCAGCCAACTTACCCCGTTGTGAGGACGGCAGCAAAATCGACTTCTGCCGCTTTTTGTCGGCGCCACTTATTACCACCTCCGCTGGTGGAGTTAGAGCGCCGATTCGGGGATCGATTGTCGCGTCCCGACGGGACGCGATAAATCGATCCCCGAGAGGTCGATTTCTACCCGCCGATTCAGGCGGGTAGTATAGACCAGACCCAAGTCTCTGGCCAGAGCCTGTCGGAACAGAGTGGGGGAATTTTAAATCCCTGGGCCAATACTGTCCAGCAAAGCTGCTTGTTAACCCTTCTGTTGTCCTCCTTATGCCTTGCAGTATTTTGCAGATCTCATAGTTGCTTGGGCACATTCAGGCCCCCCTTTCTCTTGGTTGTCAGCCAAGTCTTGGCTGTGAACAATGTCCTTGGACTGAGCCTGCTAGCGGTATTTTCCTCTCAGTTAATTCATTCTGTTCTCTTCCTTCTCCCTTTCTCGGCTTCTTCTAACTTCCAAAAGGACCTTCCACTCTTCACTCATACACCTTTTCTCCAACCATTAACACATACACATTGCCATTATACATCCTTTCAGTAACATAACTTCTGTACAGAGCTTTGAAGCAACAAACCAGGACGAGCACACTCACTTCTGAGGATTCCACTCTGTACAACCTCTGGTATCCAATAGCTTTCCCTTTTAACTTTAAATGCCTTCTCTGTCTTCATTATACCTCTTCTGTGCCTCCTCCCTAGCCTTGGCTCTAACCTGATTCCGCTCCACTTCAGACAACAAGGTTCTCATAAGTATATTGCAATCATCCCAGTCAGGCTCATGGCTAGCCAGACACCCTTCAAAGATTGAAATGAACCTGCTTGGATTCGT